TCTTTGGTTTTGTCTTGAGGTTTATCCAGCTCAGACTCTGGCACCGGAGCGTCCTTCAGGAGAAGCTCTCCTCCACGAGGAGCATCCTTCATGAGAGCCTCAGCAGCAGGAGCAGGGCCCTCCTCTGCAGGCTGCCAGGGCCCTGTTCTGCTCTCTTTGGGCTGTTTCTGGGTGGTTTGGGCAGGTGCCCCACGAGGGCAAGCAGCCTGAGGCTCAGTGCCCCTGTGCTGGGGTGAGCTCTGCTCCCTCCTCGTGTCCCTTCCAGCTTTCCCGTCCATCCCAGCTCCTGGCACAGCCCAGGGCACGGCTGGAGGGGCTGGGGGAAGGATCCCAGTGCTTGGAGGTGTCCCTGCAGATGGGGAAATGATCCCAGTGCTGGGAGGGGTCCCTGCAGATGGGGAAATGATCCCAGTGCTGGGAGGGGTCCCTGCAGATGGGGAAATGATCCCAGTGCTGGGAGGGGTCCCTGCAGGGGCTGGGGAAATGATCCCAGTGCTGGGAGGGGTCTCTGCAGATGGGGAAATGCTCCCAGTGCTGGGAGGGGTCTCTGCAGGGGCTGGGGGAAGGATCCCAGAGCCCCTCTCTGCTCTGGGGGTCTCTGCTCGCCCCGTGCCCCCCACGGCTGCTCCGTGCTTCGGAGGAAGCTCCGAGGGAGCCTTGGCACTGCTGGGCTTCTCATCAGAGGGTTTTGTTTCTTTATCATCCACCTTTGCCACGGGGGAAAGGTCACTTTTGTCCTTGGGCTGGCCTCTGTGTGACACCTCAGCCTCTCTGCTTTTGCCACCTCTCTGTGGCTCCTCTTGGGCAGGTTCTTTGTGTCCCAGGCTGGTGGGCTGCTCATGGCACCTCTGCATCTCCTTCTCAGCACCAGCTCCACGCTCCTTGCTGCTGTTCTCTGCTTCCAGAGGAAGAGGAGGAGGAGGAGGAGGAAGGCCCCCAGTCCCTGCAGCCCCTTCCCTCTGCTTTGGGAGGCCACAGGGAGCATCACCTCTGTCACTACTTGCTGTGCTCTGAGCCACGGATTTCAAGTCACTTCTTTTATTACTCCCAAGTCTTTGAGGGCCAGCGGGAAAGTTTTTAATGTTTCTGTTTTCATCTACAAAATCTGTGTCTTCCATCCCACATCCCAGCCCAGATCCCAGGGGAGGCTGTGCTTCACTCCTCTCTGGATTTGCCTCTAGAGGAACATGCCTGGAAGCATTTTTAGCCTTTTTACTGCTTCCATCATAACCCCTCTTTTTAGATCTCTCAGTGACTGGGGCCAGGCTGGGATCTGACACTGCTGGATGCTCTGGAATATAATTTTTATTCCTGCTGCAAGGACTGGCACCTCCTGCCTCAGCTTTGTCCCTGATCTCCAGTCCAGGAGGAGGGAACATCCCTGCTCCTGCTTTATGCTCCAGCAGAAAAGGCTGCTGTGGGTCAGGCTCCCCCTTTCTGTGTTTCTCCTCATCACCTGGGTGTGATTTCCCTGGCTCCAGGGGCAAAGCAGGAGTCTCTACCTTGGCAGGATCAGGCAGGGGACCTGCTGGAGTCCTGGAATTCCCTTTGCCTTTCTCAGCCTGAGTTTGCTGGCTGTGTCCCACTGCAGGGACATCAGCTGGCTGCAGCTCAGGTCTGTGCTCAGCCTTTTTGCCTTTCCCATCTCTGCTTTTACTCTTGGCCTTGTCCATCCCCAGTTCCCTGGTGGGACTGTGCATCCCTGCCCTGTGCTCTGGGAGAGGCTGGGATTTCTCTGCTTCCTTCCCTCTATTCATGGGCCAAGTTTCTTTAGCACTGCCAATTTCTGCCTCTGAAATCTCTGTTTTCTGGCCTGAAAGATTTGGCAGCTCAGAGAAGCTCCCACTGCCACCCTGGATTTTGGGCTTCCCCAGCTCCTCCGCCAACCTCTCTCTTTGCAAACCAGATCCCTTCTCCTTATCCAGGCTCATTTCCTTCCTGTTCCCAGGCTCCTGCTGCTGGCTGCTGTCCCCCCCAGCACCCGGGACAGCTGCCTGTCCCCAGGGGCTGTGCTCAGCCTCCTTCCTCCTCCCATCACTGCTCCTTTTCCTGCCTTTCTCTGCCAGCCCTGCGGCACCTCCGGCCTCTCTGCCTTTCCCAACCAAATCCACCTCTTTTGTCAGGCTCGTGGTGGCGGCCAGAGCAGGAATTTTGGCTCCCTCTTTGCTCTTCTCCAGCAGCAAAGCTTGGTCTAAAGCTCTCAAATCGGCTGTTTCAGGTTTCCCAACATTTTCTTTCGGTTTCTCCGGTCCCAGCTCAATCAATCTTTGTGTTTTAGCTGCGTTTTCCTGCAAGTCCCCAGCAGGGACACAGCCCCCTGCTCTGCCCTCATCACTGCCCTCCCTCACCTTACCAACCACCTCAGGAAAACTCCCTGCATCCATTTTACTCTCAAGGAAAGGCTGCTGGAAAAAGCTCCTTTCCCCTTTTTTGCTCCTTCCATCGCTGCCTCTTTTTTTGGGCTTGTCTGCAGCGCTGGCTGATGGGTGTCCTCTGGCAGGAACCCCCTGACCATTTTCAGGATAAACTGCTTCCTTCCCAGCCTCCCCTGTCCTCCCTCCCTCAGTGAATTTGCCTCCATCCTCTGCGAGCACCATCTGCTCCGAGAAGCTTTTTATTCTTTTGCCTTTCCCTTCGCTGCGCTTTTTTTTAGGCCTGTCCACCCCGTGTGTGGAGCTGGGATCTTTCCCAGCCCTCTGCTCTGGAGCAGGGGATCCTTTCCCTGGGTTTGGATCTGGGGAATCTGCCCCACCCCAGCCCCCTGCCCCAGCAGGGGAGGGATGTTTGGGAGCACCGGGGACACCCTCGGCCCTTCTGCCCTGCACAGCTGGAACCTCCCCAAGCTTTGCTGAAAGTGAAGCTGGAACAGGAGCTCCAGGAGCATCTCTTGGGGTCTGCAGCCCTCCCTCTGACCCTGTTTCACTTTCTCCAGCTGCCTTTGGCTCTGCAGGGAGCTTGTCCTCCAGGTGAGGCTGTTGGAGGGGTTCCTTTTCAACCCCGTTGCTTTTTTCCTGGTTTTTCTTGGCTGCTGTTTCCAGGGAAAGCTGATGCACAGAGCCACTGGGTGCTTCCCGCCCTGGAGATGAGGTTTTAGGCTCTTTATTTTTATGGGAAAGGGGCAATTCCAAAGGTTTGGTCTGTAAGGGAGTTCCTGCTTTGCTCTCATGGACTGTCAGGTCAGCTCCTCTTGACTCCTTGTGCTCCCTCCTCTCCCTTTTACCGGGGAAATCTCTCTCCGCGGGCCCGCTGGGTCCCGAAGCTGGAGCAGATTCCTCCAGCTCAGTCTTGCCCCCCTGCTCCGAGGGAACCTCTCTGCTCTTGCCTTTACATTCCAGCATCCAGCTGTCACCTCTCCTTCCCTCTGCTTTCGCTTCCTCCCGGGCTCTGGCACCCTGCAGAGCGGATTTTGGGGGCTGCTGTCCCGGGGCTGGCACTGGGAAGGAGTTTTGCTCATCCAGGATATGACTCCCAGTTGTTATTTTAGCATCTTTTGGCACATCCAGAGCTCTGCTCCCTGAGGGCGTTCCCTCAGGCTCTGGATTCTGCCATTCCAGCCCAAAGGGAGCATTCCTGGCAGCTCTGGAGCCGGCTCCGTTCTCATCCCACAACTCCATCCCTCTTGGCAGCTGGTTTCTCCTTTGTTTGGGTTTCTTTTTCTTTTTCTTCACCACGGCACCTTCCAAATCCCAGCTTTCCTGGGAGGGATCTCTGCAGCTCTCCACAGGCTCCTTGGGGACACTGGTGGCCTTTTTGTGAGGAACCCTAAAGCGAGGGGATGTTCCAGCACCACAGCCAAGCTCCACTGTGGAACAGGGATCTGCTCTGGGCTCAGGACTCTTCTGCTGTGGGAGACCTACGGGACGCTCCTCTGGCACATCTGTGAGAGGCTCTGGGGCAGGTTTTGCTCTGCCAAACCCACGGTCCCTGGATTTGGGAGCTTGCCTGACTTGTGCAGTGGGAAGACCTGGAATACAGGAAGCCTGCTCAAACATCAAGGCCGCTATTTGCTGGATAAAAGAAATAATAAATATATTCTGGGTGTGACTGCAGCCCTCTCAAACAGGCCATACAGGCAGATGTGCAGATTTCCCAGCGCTGGAATCACACCAGAGCCACCCTGAGAGGCCCAGGGCAGGTATTTACCCCAACACCTGTGCAATCCACCCCAAATCCATACACCAGTGCTCCTTAAACACGAGTCTGACACAGGCTCTTACCCCACCAAAAAGCACCATGCCACTGCTTTTTAAAAATGCATTAAGGATCCATTTTGTCTCAGCAAGACAAGATCAGAGAGAGCCTTTTTATATCTCTGGCTGGCATCCTTCCAGAGTGGGAAAACAGAAGTTTAGTGGGAAGATGGGAAGAGAGATGGGGGCAGGAGAGCCAAGATTCCCCAGCAGCAGGGAGGAAGCAGTGGGAGGCAGAGCCTCTGGCCCAAGGTCACCTGCTGTGTGTCCCTGGGGATCCCTCAGCTGAGCTCCAGCACAGGAGCACTCGTTTGTCACTTAGCCCTGGCCCACAAATCCTCCTCCACACCAAGGGTGAGCAGCACCAGCTCCTCTGGAGGCTGGCTCAGTGGAGCAGGAGAAAATCCCATCTTCCTCTGGCAATTACACAGACTGGGAAGGAGATCCTCACTGGGAATATCCTCCTGAGAATTAGCGATCCTCTTCGATACCAAAACCAAAGTTGGTGCTGATGGCAGAGAATGAGGAGCTCTGCAGTCCCCCAGCACAGCTGTGAGCCAGCCCCAGTGAAAAAGCACTCAGAGCACACAGATTTGGGCTTTTAGTTGGAATATGGAGGGAAAAGAGCCTTGGAGAGGGCAGGGATGCGAGGGAAGGGTGAGCCCAGCACCAGGAACGCTGAGAGCCACACCAAGACATTCCTGCTTGCCCAGGTGGCCCCAGAGCCAGGAGCAGAGGGTGAAGAGTTCCCAGAGGAGCTTTCCATCAGGAAATGAAGTGGTTTTTTTTGTATTATGATTTATATCCTACCTGTGGGCTCCTGCAGGGTTTTCCCTTCCTGAGGTTCTGCGTGTCGGATGTGGTTGTGCTCAGCCTCCTCCTTTTGTGCCTCACCATCCTCAGCAGGAGCAGATTTTTCTGGAAGGTCTTTATTTTCTAATGCTCCTTTTGCTTCAGCTGGAACATGAAAGACAGGAAGAGAAAGCTTCAGGTCTCAGGAGTACAGGCAGCCTGCAGCTGAACCCCAGCCCTTGCAGAGGGGTCAATTCTGTGTTCAACAGGAACGGGGTTAATGAGGCAAGGCTGGCTCATGTCCTCACAATCCCATTCCAGCAGCACTTTTCTATTCTGCACGTGCTAAGATGGGGGTAGAACACCAAGCAGGGTGTTTCAGGGCTTAAGCACAGGGTGAGGGTTTGTTTGGGTTTTTTCCTCTGTAATCAACCCAATTCAGACTATCCCAGCTTCCTGCTGGGAATTCAAATCCAGAACGAGCTCCATTATCAGCCTGGAGTCCCTGGCTAATCCTGATCATCTTGTATTCATCTATACCTTACAATACATCCACACAGCCACCACAACATTCCTCACTGCATAATTAGAGCTTTAATTTGTAAGCCATAATTACATGGGAGAGCAGTTCTCTCCGTAATTAATTTTATTTCAATTTTAAATGGAAAGCAAAACGACGACAGACATTGGTCCAACAACTGTGCACGAGGGAGAAAAGGACAAGTTGTGTGAATGGCAAAACCACTGAAATCCTGCTGGAGACTGAGTTTGGTGTCTGTGTTCTGTCTGTGTGGGGCAGAGCTCTGCTCTGGCTGCTTTTCCCACCTGCTGGCTCTGGCTGGTGGCTGCTTTTCCCAGGAAAGTGCTCGTCCAGAGGGCTTGGAGGGGCTTTTCTGTCCTTCATCTTCTCTGAGTGATCCACACAAACTTCTGGGACTTTGGATTCTGCTTCCACCTTTGCTGGTGCTTCTGCAAATGGAAGGTAAAGAGTAAAAATTTTTAAAATTCGGATCAGATTAAGTAAGATAAAAATTACTCCCTCACTTAATTTTTTATTTTCTGCAAGGAACTGAAGGGTTTCCTCACTCTCAAAACCTGATTTTTAGGATCTTTCTACCTTCCTGCATTGTCCTGCACTTCCTCTTTCATTCACCCACCTGGATCTCTCAGTCATTACAATCTAGTGGGGTTTTTTTGTTGCAACTTCTCTCTTTAAATTTATCCTCATTGTTAAACTAAAGAGTATTAGAAGATAAAAAAAAATATCTCACTCCAACCCCATCCACAACCAATCTGCTGCCTCTGCCCAGGACTATTTGCTGTGTTTTAGTAATATAAATATAAAATAAATAATAATATAAAAATAAATAATAATATAAATATAAAATAAATAATAATACAAATCTAAAATAAATATAAAATAAATAATAATATACATATAAAATAAATAATAATATAAATATAAAATAAATAATAATACAAATATAAACCAAACAATAATACAAATATAAAATAAATATAAATAATTATATAAATAAAATATAAATAATAATAATAAAAATAAAAATAAAAATAAAAATAAAAATAAAAATAAAAATAAAAATATCATTTTGGAGAGCAGTTTTTCTCTCCAGAGGGGTGGTGACCCTGGAGAAATCCACGCAGCACAGCAAACCTGCACATGGAAAACCAAACACGCCCTTCCCAGCACTTCAACACCTACAGCCATCCCAAAGAAAGCTCCCAAAACTATCCACTAAGCCTTTTAGCCTTTTCAGAAATTGTTTTCAAGCAGCTCTGTTTGTCAGCTCTGTGTCCTGCAGGATTTGGGAGATTTTGGTGAGAGGTGAGGGTGGTGGTGACACAAAGCCAAGCACCAGCAGGGACGAGCCAACACCTCTCCGTGGCTGTCCTTAGAGCACTCAGCACTGCTAAGAATGGCCAATGAAAATTAAAACATCATTAAAAACCTTTATTTTTATGTTTTACAAGTGAGGAATCCCCGTGAAGGGCTTTCTGTGCATCCTCAGAGCAGAGCTGAGCTCTCCTCAAGGAGCCAAATCAACGCTGGGCTCCATGACCCCAGGGGCCTTTTCCAACTGGGATTGTGGGATTTGGGAACACTCACTCACCTGCAGGAGACTTGTTCTGCTGAAGGGCAGCCTCAGCAGACACAGCAGCCCCTGCAGGGCCAGGCTGAGCCTCCACTGACACATTCCCAGTGTCCACAGCAGGGACAGGCTTGGCTGGAGCTGCAGGAGCAAACCCAGAATCCAGGCCGTGCTGATGGTTGGCTTCTGCTGCTGGGGCAAACTCTGCATCTGCTGCCAGGCCAAGCTCGGGGCCCACCGTGTGCTGAGCTTTGATATCTGCTGCTGGAGCAAAATCCAAGGCATGGTGAGGCTCCACATCTGCTGCTGGGGCAAAATTCATGGCATGGTGAGGTTCTACATCTGCTGATGGAGCAAACCCCAAATCCATGGCACGGTGGGACTCCACACCTGCTGCTGGAGCAAATCCCAAATCTGTGGCTTGGTGAGGTTCCACACCTGCTGCTGGAGCAAATCCCAAATCCATGTCTTGGTGGGACTCCACACCTGCTGCTGGAGCAAACCCCAGTTCCACCCCACGGTGGGATCCAGCATCTGCTGCCGGGGCGAAGCCGAGCTCCGTCCCCGGGGTGGAGATGTCATTGACGCCTTTGGGAGGGCTGGCTTCAGGTGCAGGAGAAAACCCCAAATCCGTGGTCTGGAAAGGGTTGGCTGCTGCTGCAGGAGCTGCAGCCCCTGGAGCTGGGGGAGGTTTGGTGTCTGCAGCAGGGACAGCTCCAGCTTTCTCTGCGGGGAGCGACGCGGCGTCGGCGGCGGGAACAGAGGCTGCACCTGCCCGGGAACACCAGGGATCAGGGAAAAGCACCATGGCTTTTCCACCACCCCTGACCTGCTGCTTTATGTCTGGAGAACACACAGGCTTCGCTCCCTCTTGGCTTCCAGCACCTCTTCCTCCCCCTGCCAGCACTGCACCCCGGTCTTTATCCGCTCCTGGACGCATCCAAGAGCTTTTCCTGCCGCAGCCCCACGTGCCCTGCAGTGGGGCTCCCATCTGCAGCCAAGGATGGATGGATTCTGTTCCCAACCTCCCTGATGCCACACAGCTGGCAAAGGGCCAGAGCTGCTGGATCCTCTGCCAGGAGCACATTGCAGCAGGGCCCAGGCAGGAGCCACGGCGAGAGGCTTGTGCAGAGCGCTGGGATGGTTTGAGCTGGGGGGCTCCTTAGAGATGTCCCAGCTCCAGATCCACTCCCTTCTCCTGGGCAGGGACATCTCCCACTATTCCAGGCTGCTCCAACCTGGCCTGGGGCACTTCCAAGGGATGGGGCAGCCACCCTGGGAAAGCTTCCCTGGTTTTCCCTCTAGTGCAGGACACAGAGAACGTGGAATCACCTGTGAGAGCCCAGCGGCTTTTCCAAGAGCAGGAAGTCCTGACACACCCCAAAGCTACACACTTCATCCTAAACACGATTTGTGCTGCTGCTGGGGGTTTGGTTTGTGCTCCTGACACAAAATCCTGCCACAAATCCCACATTCCCTCTATTCCCTCAAACTGGCCTCGTTGATTTTTCACACAGTATCTCCTAACACTGAGCTGGTAGCTCCAAACCAACATTTGTCACTTCAGAGCACAATCAAACCTCTGCATTTAAGCTCCTATTTGCCTAAAATCCCCTCAAAGGAGGTTTTTCAGTCAGCTTTTGTTTAATGTTTCAGCTGTCCAGAGGGAAGCTTTTCCAAATGATCAGTGCCAGAAGCACTGGATCTTTCTTCTGCAGCTCATCTCGACAGCCCCAAGCTCTGCCCACCCTCTGTGTCCTGCAGCTCAGTGCCCTGAACATCTCCCATCTATTGCTGATCACCAAAAAAATAACATTTCTACTGATTTTTTGAGTCACATCTAAAAATATCCTCCCCAACCAATGGAAAATCTATGAAATCTAAATTAGATACTTAAACTGAAGTCAGAATGAAACAGAAAAATGGAAAAAGTCCCTTTTAAAATGGTACATTAAGGATCCATTTAGACATAACAAATATTTTAGTGAACCAAACCAAAAGGATCCATCATGCACCAACCCTCACTTGGGTTTGACTTGGTTGTGGGGTTTTTAAGTGATACCACGATTTTCTCCAAAAGAAAATGCAAAGATTTTGATTTTACAGACAAATAAGACTGCAAATAAATAGATATTAAAAGCAGTATGGATGTTCCCTGGATAATGATGGAAATGAGTGAGATAAAGAATTGGGAAACTGGACAACAACTGGCACTGGGAGTATAAATATGTTATATATATATATATATATATACATATATATATATATAAATAAAAATAATAGTATAAGTAAATAAATAAATAAATATATAAAAATAGTATCAATAAATAAGTAAATAAATAAATAAATAAATAAATTTATACTGGGAGTATAAATATGTTAAAATGGGTTTTTTCCAAGAAAATCTTTTAGAAGGAGAGGTTTAAAGGTATTTGTGAATAGATCTGTGCTGGGGAAGTGACCTGGTGACCTCAGAGGGCTTTTCCAACCTGAACCATTCCCTCGCTGTGCCACAACCACGTCCCCAGGATTGTCCCGCAGCTAAAATCTGGAGGTGGCTCGGAACCATGGGCTGGGACACAAGTGAGCAGACCTGCTGCTTCCCCCTGGGGTGTCCCCACAGCTGCAGGATCTGTTCACCCCTTCCCCCAGGTTTTCCAGGGATGCAGGGATTGATGTACCTGGCGTGGCGCCCTTTGGTGCATCCGTGGCTGCAGCCTCTCCTGGGAATGCTGAGGCTGCAGCAGGAACACTCCCAGGGGCTGCTGCTGCCGTGGGGCTCTCGGGCAGGCTCGTCCTGATGGCCTCTGTGGCTGAGGGGGGCACTGCAACAGGAACAGCTGGAATGAACATCTGGAGAGGCCTCGGCACTCGGCTCCTCCCCGGAGCTGCTGGGATGTGGGGGACACCCATGGGGTGGTGCCTGGGAACTCCCACTCAGCATCCCTGAGAAAATCAGCTTTTATTGCCCACTCTCTGGAAAATCATTTGTGCAGCGCCCAGGAAAACTCTGGAATCCCAGGAGAAGTGGCAGAGTTGGGGAATGTTGTGTTACAAACATCCCCCAGTGCCACCCCCAGCTCCAGAAACGCTTCCTACCCATGACCAGGGTGAAACTGTTCTCAGCTTCCTCGTGGAAATAAAGATCCCATTATGGGTCAAGTTTTGCAATACACACAAATTCCCAATGGGATCACGTCCCAGTGGAGCTTCAAAGGTTTAACTGTGCCCAGAATTTAAAGGTAATTGTAAAATCCCAGAAAGGTTTGGGTGGGAAGGGACTTTAAGGATCACTCAATCACACCCATGGGACACCTTCCACCATCCCAGGGTGATCCAAGCCTCATCCAGCCTGGCCTGGGATCCAGGGGCAGCCTCAGCTGCTCTGGGCACCTGTGCCAGGGCCTGCCCACCCTGCCAGGGAACAATTCCTGCCCAATATCCCATCCATCCCTTCTCTCTTTCAGTATAAATCCATTCCCACTCCTCAAAGATGCATTTCCATTCTGCACTGCTGCGAGCAGCAGAAGCAGCGCTCTCCTCGGTCAGGTCAAGTGTCCCTTGAGGAGCCAGACAAGGAGAGGAGCTGGTTCTGCTGCTCAGGAGCTCTCTACCAACTCTTCCTGCAGGTCAGCTCAAAACTTTTTTACCTGGTGGCTCAACAAAGAAAGAGGTATCTGGTCCCTTCATGTCCTGCTGAGCTCCCATCCAGTATTCTTCAGGTGCTGTGGGGAACAAACACTCTGAGCCCAGCCCTGACCACACAGGGCCTTTCCCAGTGAAGATCTTGACTCTGCTGCCTTGGGAGTTCATCCTCAGGGAAGTTTTACATTCCCTCTATGAGAGGTACCAGAACATGCTGCTCTTCCACAATTATTGGGAGTGAAATCTCCCATCAGACAAGAGTTACACCCAGCACTGACCCCAGGAGCCAAAAGAGGAGTTTCTTCCCTCAGTTCCTCTGGGCAAGTGGCTCTGGGTAGCCCTGCCTAGGCAGGGGGGTTGGAAAAGTTCCAACCTGTGAACAATCCTGTGATCTCCTAATGCAGAATCCCAGATTGGTTTGGGCTGGAAGGGACCTTAAACCCACCCAGTGCCCCCCTGCCATGGCAGGGACACCTCCCACTGTCCCAGGAGCTCCAGCCCCAGTGTCCAGCCTGGCCTTGGGCACTGCCAGGGATCCAGGGACAGCCCCAGCAGCTCTGGGCACCTGTGCCAAAGCCTCACACCACAACATTCCTCCTGAACCAGCAGCTGTCCATGCCAAGAGGAAATTTTCCAATCTTGGCTCATTTTATGAATCAACTCCCCACCAAGATTCTTTAGGACTTGTAAACTGGGATTTTCCAGCTGCAAACCCTCCAAACCCAGCCAGTAAGAGAAAACATTTGCTTCTCACCTGCTTTTCCTGGCAGGAATTCTGTGCCTGACTCGAGGCCGATGAAGGCTGATGGGTCCAGAGCCTCTGCAGGGGAATACAGGGACCCCAGGAAAGGCTGTTCAGGTCCCATCATGGATCCATGTGGAGCTAAGGAAATAAAAAAACTTTAGTTAATCACCAGCCCTAATGATTCCTCTCTTAAATTTCAAGTCCTACCACACTTGGACTGTTCTGCTCAGCAGCAGTTCAGATAAATCTGCATCAAATGTTAGTTCTGCTTCACAAACCATAAATTCTGTGTTTAATAGAACTTTTGGACAAGGTGTAAGAGAGCCAACACAGGCAAATTATTTCCTTTGGCTTTCTGCTTCTGTTCCCATGAATTCCTGCTGGTAATCCCTTAATAATCCAATATTAATATAATAATCCAAGAGCTGAAATCCTGCACTTTGCAGAAAGAGCTCCCGAGTATCTGGGGTTTAACCATTAAAACAACAACAGGGAAAAAAGTGAATTTCCAACCTGAATTTTCAGTAGATGGAAAGCAAGAGAGAAAACTCCACACCAGAGAGCTGGGGAGGAGCAGGAGGAGCTCACCAAGGATGTCCCTGGCAGCATCGGCATGGCCTGGGAACAGCGGCACGTTCCTCATGTCCGTGGGGAAGGACAAATCTGGAAGGTTCTCCCCTCTGTGGAGGCTGAAAGGCTCTGCCAGAGACACAACCAGGCAGGGTCACACCCAGGGGACAAGGACTGCAACAAGATTCACCAGATCCCAACGCTGCACTTGCAAGGAAAAGCTGCTTTTGGGATTCTTCCCCAGGAGCAAACCCCTTGGGATCGGAATTTACAGCCAGCAGTAACCCTCAGCTGCTCAGGGTGACTTTTGGGGAAAGTGGAGCATGGCTGTTCCTGCAGGAGCTGTGTCCTTCTGCCCTGATGGACACATCCCATGGATCTGTGTCAGGAGCAGGGCTCAGCTCAGCCCGGAGCAGGGAAAGGTGTGGGAGCTCTGAGCTCTCCCAGTCAGGAACTGCATCCCAGTATGAACTGGGCTGATGAACTGGTATTTTAACCAAGTTACTGGGGAATGGAAACATCTCCCAGTAACTTGGTTAAAATACCAGTATGAACTGGTATTTTAACCAAGTTACTGGGGAATGGAAACATCTCCCAGCATCCCAGGCAGACTGTCCCATCCCTGGAAGTGCCCAAGGCCAGGCTGGACAGGGTTTGGAGCAACCTGGGGGGTGTCCCTGCCATGGCAGGGGTGGCACTGGGTGGGCTTTAAGGTCCCTGTCATCCCATTCCTCTGGCCCTGGGAGCCATTCCCTGTGTCCTGTCCCTCCATCCCTTGTCCCCAGTCCCTGCAAGGGGCTCTGAGCTCTCCCTGGAGCTTCTCCTCTCCAGAGGAACACCCCACTTCCAGACACTCGGGTTTCCTCCGGTTAAACCCAGTGCAGAGGGATTTGGTTGAGGGCTGTGGCTCATTTTCATCCCAGATGTGCTCCCTGCAGGGCTGAGAGCCCAGCCTGAGCTGTTCCCATGCCCACAGTGTGCTGGGATGCCAAGATCAGGTGAGCTGAGTGAATTTCTTTATAAACCTGTCAGATTATTTGAGATGCCAAGACAACATTTTGCCTTGGAGCAACGTGCAGAGTATTTTGATTTCAAGCTGTTTAGAACAGTATTGCCAAGTCTGAACAACTGCCTCCTCTCCAATTAAATACCAACCCCCAAAAAACAAGGAAAAACAAACAAACAAACAAAAAAGATCATGACTGAAACCAATTTAAAACTAAAAGAGATCCTGCTGATGTTCCCTCTTTGCCCAGCAGTTGGATGAGCTGGAAAAAATGGGCAAAAAATGGGGAAAGGGGAGAAGTGGGAGAGCTGAAGTTTCCCCAAGGAATTACAGGAATGGTGATCAGGAGATCCTTTACACCACTGGCCACAGAATCTTCTCCTTGGGAGGGAAATCATCCTCCCACTTTTTGGAAAGTGGGATATTGAAATATTTGATATACAAATACTGAATAAACCCACAGATTTCTCTGAGTCTGATGTTCCCATTTTTCTCCTGTTGACAAGTCCTTAAAGCTGCTCTGTGCCTTCTGATCCCTCTGCTCCATTGTGGGAATTCTAAGCAGAATCTCATTTATATCCAACTGGAAGAGCAACACAGGGGACACTTTGATCCTGAATTTTATGTGGTGCCTGTACAGGTGTGCAAGACACTCCAGAGACATGAAACCTAAAGAAATGTGGTTTCATGCAACAAATAAACTCAAATATTCCTATTATTCAGGCCAAAAGAACACTGGGTGATGGGCCAGGTATTTAAATTGTTCCTAATTAACACATTTGACATGTGGCTCTTGAGGAGAATTATATCAATGTCCCACTCCTGCACCCACACAGCAACAGGAGGGAAAACCCAAGGAACCTGCAGCTCTTAAATGAACCATTTCTCATCCTTGTAAAAACACCTCAGCTCTTCACAGAATCTCTTACAGAGAGAGATTCAGGCAGTAAGAAAATCACACACTAAGCAGGCCTGCAGTACTCAAAAACATATTAAAAATGGAAATTCCATCCTGTATCTTTTGATTGCCTGGGATAATCTGGGCAGGACACACATTTCTGAGGGCCAGCAAGCAATTGAATTTCAAAAGATGAAATTTTTTGAAATTTTGGAGGAAATAAGAGGAAATGAAGAGGAGGCTGTTGGGTGAAGGTGAAGCTGTCTGCAGGGCTGGGTTACACAGGGTGCAGCTCACTCTCAGGAGTGTCAGCAGTGCCAGGATGGGACAGAGGGACAGCACTGCCTGGGGACAGATCTGGCCAGGTTTGCTCTGAAACCACAGTGCTCCCAGCACTTCAGCTCTGGGAGTGCCCCAGAAACCGCTCTGGCCATCGAATCCCAGAGTTGTAAGGCTTGGAAAAGTCCTCCAAGATCATGGGCTCCAAGCTTTGACCAAATACCCCCAAAACTCATCACAAAATGTTGTGTCTGCTTGGGTTTGGGACACTCCCAGGGATGGGGATTCCACCACTGCCCTGGGCCAGCACTCAACACTCTGTTCTGAAGGAATTTTCCCAATTTCCACCCTGAACCTCCCCTGGCCCAGCCTGAGGCTGTTCCCTCTCCTCCTGTCCCTGATCCCTGGGAGCAGAGCCAGAAATTCCCCCTGAGCTGCTCCCAGCCCTGATCTCCAGGAATCCAGGGGCTGCCCAAGGCAGGAGAGCAGAACTTCCTGCAGGGATGGAGCCAGGAATGGAGCCAGGAATCCATGAGGTGCCCCAGCTGCCAAAATCAGGGATGCTCCAGGCTCCAGAGCCATCCTACCAGCCATGTCCATGGGTTTGAAGCACAGGTCCCTCTCCTCTGCTGACCACGAGTCGTTGCGGTCCAGGAACTCTTTGTAGGACATCTTCTCATCCATGATTTCTCCAGGGAATACTGACATGGGAGAGGAAAACAACCCAGTCAAACACTGAAATATTTCCAGTGGATGGTTGTACATTGGGATGTGACATCCCCAGGTAACAGGGACTGGCAGCTAAACCAGAGACCACAATATTAAATTTTTATTCATTTTTCTTCATTTTTTCTTCATTTTTTCTTCATTTTTTCTTCATTTTTTCTTCATTTTTTCTTCATTTTTTCCTGGTTTGACCCAGCTCTCCAAATACAAGACACACAACAGCTGGGATTGCTGTGTCCTGATGCACATGGAAAATCAGGAACAGACTCACATGGAAGTGTTGTCCTGGTCCAAAGCCTCCAGTTGTACAAAAGGAACAAAACCCTGAGACTTTAAACAGGACAAACTCAGTGGAAAAGTTCAAAATTAAAAGCCAGACTAACCATTTCTAGCTTTATTTCAATTTTAAGGAGGCCTGAATTTGCCAACTTTTCTGAGGACAACATTAGAGTTTTAAAGTGGTTCCACTTTCTTCTGGAAAGAAACAGAAATATTTACAGTGACTCCTTCTCTCACCCCCAATTCTCTGCTCTCTGCCAATCTCTTTATTTCAGTATTTTTACCTTCACTTGGGCTGACAATACCTGCAAGCCTGGAGCTCAGGAGATGAAATTCATCACAAAATATGCCTGGATATAACCCTTAATTCAGTGCAAAACTGCAGTTAATAAAAACAACCCCAATGTTAAGGCACAGAAGGAAAGAATTCATTAAAAACACAACCCTGGTCTGTAAAACCAAAAATCTGGAGGTGTCAGGTGGGCTGAGAGCTCACAGCAAGGTGGGCAGAGATCTAAATAATAATAATAGTAATAGTAGTAATAATAATAATAATAATAATAATAATAATAATTTTTAAAAATAAGATTAAAAATGGATTTTGTGGGGCTTGGAGTTTGTTTTACACCTTAGAACAAGGAAATGTCGCCAGTACAAATCATCAGTGGGTTCAACAATTTGCTCAGAGTTTGGGTTCAAAGGAGCAAGAGGAGTTTAAAACATGTCCAAATCTCTGATTAGGGGTAAATATTAATTCTTACTTCTAATTAATAATAATAAAATTAATCATATAAATATTTAATACTATTTTAAACAACAATTTAAATAACAATACATTCTATAACCAAAGAACCTATTGGATAATTTATGTTATATATGCTATAAATAAATAAATGTAAGATATAAATATATAGCATATATTATAGCAAATACTTTATAATGTATATATATATTATATATACATTATATATACTTTATAGCATATTTTATGTTTTCATGTATATTATATTATATTATATTATATTATATTATATTATATTATATTATATTATATTATATTATGTCATATTATATATTTTCATGTGTTTAATATTATACACAATGATATAATTTTATATATTTATAAATATATGTAAATTATATATTGTACATTATTCTATACATACTTTTATTTCTATACACACACACATATAAATGAGTATATACAATGATTAATACAAATAATATCAATTTTACTTCCAGAGCAGTGGGGATTCTGCTTTTCTGCCAGTGCCTTTCAGCTTTTATTCTTATTTATTCTTATTTATTTTATTTCAGATTTTATTCTTATTTATTCTTATTTATTCTTATTTATTTTATTTCAGATTTTATTCTTATTTATTCTTATTTATTCTTATTTATTCTTATTTATTTTATTTCAGATTTTATTCTTATTTATTCTTATTTATTTTATCTTATTTCAGATTTTATTCTTATTTATTTTATTTTAAATGGCTGCATTTGCCATTGCTGACTTCAGCAGGGATTCTCAAGGACAGGGGGACAGGGGAGTCACCAACCCCCCTGGAGGAATCTAAAAACCTGAGCACTTCACCAGAAAATATTTTATTATTGTTTTATTTGATCCTGTAGTGTATTTTTGGTAATATTTTATTTAGCTTTGCCAAGTGCTTTGGAGATAAAATGCCACTGAGATGTGTCAAGGGACATTATTTTTATTTACCATTATTTGTGGTACAGAACAGCCAGGGATTTAATTAGATTGCACTGTAAATTCCTCTAGACAGGAGCCTGTCATTTGTGTGTCTATAAAACTATTTAAAGCAAAAAAAAAATAAAATTAGAAGACACTGAAAGTCCTTGACAGTGTGAGGAAGAGCCTGGGAGCAGTTAAAAACATTCAAGAACTTCTTTAAAGATGATTTTATGATATTATGACATTAACAGAATGATGGTTGGACCACGCTGAGGCTGATGGAGAGCTTGAACTCTTAAATATTTCAAACAAATCTATTTGTTAGCACCAAAAATACACTGGCATATTGCCACAATGCACGATTTCACAGCGAAGAACATAAAATTAGGGTCAAAAAGGTCAATCTGGGAAAAAAAACCTCAATTTTGGGGGGTTTTTTAGGAGCCAGGTTGCGTTCATACCTCTGAATAGAGCAGGGAACCACAACTGGGGCTGGGGAAGGAGGGAGCAGAGGGAGACAAAAGGAATTGTGATGGGAAATATTTCCATTTGACATCAGATGAAACAGAGTTGAGCAAAAACCTGTGGGTGTTTGGAAGCCCTGAGCTGCAGCAAAGCCCCAGAGCCTGCAGCAGGAGCAGTTGGGAGCTGCCTCTGCCAAATCCTTCCCAATGGAAACCCAAAACCGGAATATTCTTCACACAATATTTTCACAACAGATGCAAATGAAGAAGTCAGAGAAGGCAGGAATCCCGGAGCAAGGAGGGATGCAGGAGCAGGGCCAAGCCTGGATCAGCCTCCCTGGGCCAGCCAGGACAACAAAGCTTTCTGGATCAAACCACCACCAGCAAAACCCCCTCCATTATTCCCAAAATGTTTTCTGAGTTGTTTGCCATAAATTTCCACTTATGCCACTTCCAGCTTATTTGTCACCCCCAGCCCATCCCAATATTGTTTCCCCTTATCAAACCTGGGACACAAAACGTGATCTCAGATTTCCTGAGGACTGGGAAAAGAGGATTTTTCAGTTCCAAACCCAAAGCTCACGTTCTGCCTCTGACCTACCAACAAAACCCACCCAGGACCACAAAAAGGAGAATCCAAACTCATCCAAGGCCCAGTGCTGGCAGTGCCTGGGAATTGTGCATCGGCAGCAGATAAAGCACTGCACACAGAACACAAATCTGACAGATCCCACAGACCTGCAAAGCAATTTTAACAAGTATTAAAGCTGCCTGATAGCTGAAAATCCGGTTAGGAGCCCTGATAATATAAACCAACGTAGGATTAGAGCTCACAAAGTCTTGCTCAAAGGGAAAAAAACACCAATAACAACATACTTACAAAACAAACTGGCTCCTGACAGTAAAAACAAGGATCCCATGCAAGTGGCACCTTCCCTGCAGTGATCCAGGGTGGGATGAGGGTGGAACATTTAGCAGAGCTGCTGACAGCGTCCCATTGTTTGTTTGATCATCTCTCTGCAAAGCTCAGCGCGCTCACATCAACCAATTCCCAGTCAAACCAGCCAAAATGCTGCTGGAGGCACTGGTGGGGGACAGGAGCAGCTCCTGGAGCTGCTGGCACATCCCACGGGAATGGGAAGCTCTCTGAGGACAGGATTATGAGCTCAAGCCTTTGTGAGGCAGGAGATGCTAATCTTGAGAGGTCACCGGCCAGACCTCCAGCTCGGGGTTAAAGATCTTCAAAATTAATGAGTGAGCAGCCGGGAGAGGGCCCTGCCAGCACCCAGCAGGGAAAACTGGGAAAGGGAAGGCTTGGGAGCTTCATTCCTGCATTCCCAAAGGGAATTTGGGCTCCTCACACGGAGGCAGAGTTGGCCTTGCTGGAATCCCCACAGAGAGCAGCAGTTTGATCAGCCACGCCAAAAAACTCCCAGGGAATGAACACAGATCCCCCTCTGCAGGGTGTGGGATCCACAGCCTTAAAAAGGAGCCTCAGAATCAGAGTCATGGAATGGTTTGGGTTGGAATGGATCCTGAAGCCACCCAGAGCCACCCCTGCCATGGCAGGGACACCTCCCACTGTCCCAGGTGGATCCAAACCCTTCCAGCCTGGCCTTAGGCACTTCCAGGGATCCAGGGGCAGCCACAGCTGCTCTGGGAATTCCATCCCAGCCAGGAATTCCTTCCCAATATCCCATCCAACCACTGGGAGCCATTCCCTGTGTCCTGTCCCTCCATCCCTTGTCCCCAGTCCCTCTCCAGCTCTCCTGGAGCCCCTGAGGGGCCCAAGGTCTCCCTGGAGCCTTTCCTTCCCAGACTGGATGCTTTAAGGACTCCTCAGGAGGTTCAGTCTGGTTTGGGAGCACCTGGTGCCTGTGTGAGGTCCTGCCCATGCTCAGGACATTTATTAAGGAGCAATTTGTGATTCCCATCTGATGGAATTTACCTGCATGTCCTGTCCGATTTTCAGGCACACAGCCCTTCCATCTGCTGCCCAGTGCTGCTGTACAGGATGGGATCTACCTGGAACACCAGGTAAAAATCCCCACAGGCAGCCAAGACATTCCAGGATCTCCTTCCTTTGCTCAGGACGTTATTTCCAGACATTATTTTGGGTAAGGGAGGCAAAAGTTTCACCTGAAAGATGCTCAGGCTCTCTTTGTGCCTGTTGGCTTTGGAGCAAACATGGAGCATCTCTCAGGAATATCCCCTCAATTTTATTACCAGTCTGATAACTTTGTAAAATAAAATATTGTCTAGTTCAGCTCAGAGTGAAGGGTCTGAAAATCCCCATGAGTGAGTTTTGCAGTCAAGCTTCACTAATCCCCAAAAATCTAAGGGATAAGCACAGACAGGAACTCCATGGAAAAAGATGTCACCCAGCCACCCAAAAGGAGGTTGTACATTTTTATCCAGGGGGATGAGAGCTCAAGATCCCAAGAAGTTTTTGCATTTAATGAATATCTAAAGCCTTGATGGAGGACAAATTCACGCAGAGCAGAGCTGTCAAAGCTGGTTCCTCCTCCCTTTCCTC